GCCAGGCTCTTCCCAAGACATAAGGGTCTAGAGGGGTCCAACCATTGACCCCTTTAGGCAAAAGCTGGGCAAGAATCCACCACAACAGGATCCTGCAGGGTCCAGGGGAGCCTGTGTTTTTTATATAAGAGAAAGGTGCAGGAAACATCACCTCAAAACGGCCCATGAAAGCCTTCAGGTTTGGGAACTCATCCAGGCACTTGGGCTCAAATATACGGTTCTGGTCCAAGATATCATAGGTGAGAAAGTCCACATAGGTGAGCTAGAACAGAGACAGTAAGATGCTTAGGTCTGAGGAGTCGTCTGCAGAGACAGAGCGGTATCCTCTTTTCCCTTCTTCCTACCTTTTCCCCTGCAAACCATGAGAATTTCCCCAAAAACATGGAGAATTGTTTCAGTTGTCCAGGTAGCTGTTCCAAGTACTGAGGCTTCAGTTTTTCCTGAGAGAGGAAAAAACAGAATGAGAATAGTGGTGATCATCTTCATAGCTAATCAGGGCGCAGGCCAGTGATGGACATTTTGTAGCCCCTTCTCTAGGTGCCTTCACTTGAGGATGGCAGGGTGGGATGAGGAATTTGGAAAGAAGAGGCACCAGCACCAGAATTACAGAAACCAAACCAAAAAATGTACGTTCTGCTTCTTATTCTAACAGCCTGGGTTGGTGCAGCAGCAGAGTGGAACAGAGACAACCCCTGGGTTCCTAAATGCCCCTTTTCTGATACTCCATTCAGCAGATGTGTGCTAAGGAATCTCACATGGTCAGAGCTGTAACAGAGCTTTATCAGTTGTATGCGGAAATCCATTACTTGGTTCTCTACGATGTCCACTCGTATCTTTTCCTCTTCAGTCTCACCACCTGTAGGCCAATGGCCAACAAAGCACCCTTGGCATCACCCACTCCCAGGCAAACCACCAGCCTGGGCTCCCTCACCAGCCCTTCCCCACTCACACATGTTGTGCTTGCGGGCGATGTAGCGCAAGATGGCATTGCTCTGGGTGATTTTGTTCTTCCCATCCAGGAGGTAGGGCAGCTGAAGGAAAAGGACAGGCCAAATGAACAACCTACCTCTCTCCCAGGGAAAAGAACACCTGCAGAGCAGTGAGCAAGAGAGAAAAGATGCTGTGTGACAAAAAAGAAAATAAATAGAAGGTAGCAACTGGGTTCACAGGATTCTAGACAGGGCTTCTTAAATCAGTGTGTGTATGTGTAGGTCTATGTGCAGGCCATGGACCTTTTCTCAGAATAAAGTTGTTAAGTGCATGAAGCAAAATAGAGAATTTATACAGTCAAAAAATATTTTAAAAATTCAAATAGAGTAACATGTGCCTATTAATGCATTAAATAGCAAGCAGATGTAATGACTAACATCTCAAATAACATATTTATATTTCTTTATATGTATGCAAATATAACTTTAAATATCTACAATGCATTTAATAGAATATGAAACTACTTGATTTCAGGCTGGGCACAGTGGCTCATGCCTGTAATCCTAGCAGTTTGGAAGGCTGAGGTGGGAGGATTGTTTGAGCCCAGGAGTTCAGGATCGGCCTTGATAACATGGCAAAACCCTGTCTCTACCAAAAATACAAAAATTAGCTGGGCGTGGTGGCGTCTGCCTGTAGTCCCAGGCAAGGATGGATATATTTGAAGGCTTCCCTTCTGCCTGTCCCCTCTCCTAAAGCCACTTACATTAGGAAAGTCCAAGTTTAGCTTGAATTTCACATCCAGCCATTGGCTTCGATCATAGTCAGGAGCTGTAAGAGACAGAATTAAGTGGGACCCAACCTCCTTAATATCCCACCTGCCAAGAATGAAAGATCTAAAGAAATAACTTGGTCCCGATACCTCAAATTCCCAGGCCCCAAAAGCATAACGACTGAGCTTCTGAGCCCTATTTGGCTAAGCATTCAGATGGGGTTGGGCTCTGGTAAAGGCAGAATCCCCAGTTCTAGGTAAAGGATGTGTCTCTACCCACCCAGATTGGGGCAGACGTCCCACCCGGCCTTGGCGCGATGCCACCACCCTCTGGGCGTAAGAAGACCTGAGCAGGTGGAGGGCCAGCTTAGCTGCACCAGCACGCAGAGCGGCATTACCTTCCCCGCACGTGTAACGTTTCTCCTCGTAGGAGGTATCGGTGAACTCCAGGAGCAGGCGGATGGCGTGCGCCAGCTGGGGGAAACAGCGGGTCAGCGCCTGCGCAGCTCCCACCCGCCCCCAACCCCCGCCTCTAACGTCCCCCGGCCCGGGGCTGCCGAGGCCCAGCGTCTTGCCGGGAAGATCGTTAAGCGGCCCCTAAGCCCGGCCCCGGCGAGCGGTTCCTCCGCCCATCCCCACAGGGCCCGCGATCCCAGAGGTTGGGCAGGGGTCGACGTCCGTGGCTCCGCAGCTCGAAAAGGCTCCAGCGTAGAGCTGCTCCTCGAGATCGCGGACCCAGAGCCCCGCTGTCTCCGCGTCCGTCTCTCTGACCGAGCGGCTCTACCGTTGAGACGGCACTCACCCCGCGAATATCCCAGTACCCCAGAACCATAGACGACTGGCACGACATGATACCAGCTTGCTAGCCTTCGAGGACTGAGGAAACCGTAAGCGGTTGGGACTTTATACCCGACGTCAGGGGGCGGGGCCCACGCGGGCGTTCTGACTCCGCCCCCGCCCCGTTCTCCGACCCCTCCCTCCGCGGCTCCACAGTCAAGTGCGCTGGCGCGACTTCTGCTGGAGTTGGGGGTTCGGGGGCGCGAGCGCTGCAGGCGAGCAAGAGGACCCGAGGTTGAGGCTCCTCCCTTCCCCACGGGTGGGAGCCGCACTTTATTCATTAATAGTGCCAGTGAAGACGCGGAAATCACGACTAGCCAGGCAGTGGGGACCCTAGTTACCCAGGAAGCGCTAGATTCGCGCAGTGTTTACCGAGTCAGCTAGGGCTGGAATGAGGGATAGGGAGACGGGGCAAGGCCGGAGAGTCGGACCAACCTCTGACCACACAGAGCAGAGGATTCTCGACAGACCAAGCTCCCCTTTCTGTCGGTCAAGAACCTCTGCAATCTGACCCCAACATGCTTTTCCAGCCCTATCTCTCCCTCAGCCTGTCACAACCTCACAAACCAGCCCAACCCAACGATGCTTGCTGTTCCTTCTACACACGCTCGCATTTCCCGCCTCGCAGTGTTTGCTCTGTGATCCTTCTGCCCGCACCCTAATATCCGAGGCCGATCCTTCCTCACCAGCCTTGCTCACATGTCTGCCTTCTCGAAGCCTTCTCAGAACCAACTGCTATCCTGGCCAGTAGAGGTCTCTTATCTTGGATGCTTCCTACCTTTGTTTTACGGGTTTAAGTGATTTATAGGTTCCCTATTATCATTTCCTCCTTCTCCAACCCCTCCCGCTTCCTAATGCTCAGGCATCCAGGGAAACTAACCTTGCCTCTTGTGTAGGATGGACTGGAGGAGGAAAGGTACCACTATTTTTCATTCACTCATCTGTCCAACAATGTTTATTTGACATGCTTGTTATGGGCAGGCACTGTTTTAGGTGCTGGAGATACAGAATTGAATTCAACAGACAAAATCCCTGCCCTCAGGAAGTTTACGTTCTAATGGGGCAGACAGAAACTAATATATAGTAAATATCTAATAAGTCAGATGGTGATACACATCCTATGGAGAGAAAACTGAGAAGAGAGAGAGGGGTCTCAGGGTGGGAATTGGCAGAATCCCAGTAGGAAGGAGTTTTGTGTTTTTAAAGGATGTGTTCATAGAAGACCTCATGGAGATGTTAATCTTTAAACAAAGACCTGAAGGAGGTGAGAGATCTAGCCACTTTGCTGTGGGGGCCACCAGGGGCTGATAAAAAACGGAATAATTGCTGTTCCTTTTACAAATGTGTTTGCTCTGCTCCTGCCTGCACCCTAACATTCATGGCCTATCCTTCCTCAAGTAGCCTTGTTCAAATGCTCACCTCTTTCTCGAACCCTTCTCAGAATCACCCTGTCTCCTGGCCAGAAGACATCTCTCCCTCTCTTATCTTGAATCACTTCCTGTCAGCAAGAGGCAGGGAGAACTCCAGGAAAAGGGAAAGGCAAGTACAGGGAATGATCACTCTGTAGATTGCATTAAAAACAGGAGACCTGGCTGGGCGTGGTGGCTCTCACCTGTAATCCCAGCACTTTGGGAGGCTGAGATGGGTGGATCATGAGGTCAGGAGTTCAAGACCAGCCTGGCCAAGATGGTAAAACAGCATCTCTTTTTCTTTTTTAAACATAAAAATTAAAAAAAAAAAAAACCAAAAAACCAGGAGACCAGATGAGATCACTATGGGAGCGAGAGTAGCAGAGGTGAGGTCTAAGGGTTTGAGGTTCTCTGGCACATCACCATATAAAGCTTAGGGAAAAATGAGAGTGAACCAGCAAAGCAGTCTAAAAAGAAGTGGGCAGGGAGGTAGGAGGAAAACAAAGGGTCCTAGAAACCAAGTGAAGATAGATGTTTAAAGGGAGAAGTGGTGAACTATGTCAAATGGGCTGATCAAATAAGATGGAGATGGAGAATCAGGGGTTGAATTTAGGAAAGTAGACGTTTTGACCTTGACAGAGCAAGAGATCTGCAGGAGGCCCCCATAGCCGCGGGGAGAACTAAGCTTCTGAATTTCAGCAGGGCCCATGAAAGTGAAAAAGGAGCATAGATTTGCAACAATGTCAGCTCAGGAGAGACAGGATTCTAGCTGACTGTGGAGGAGTGACAGAGGAAGGAGTCCAGAGCTGCTCTGGGGGTTTTGGCCAGGCCTCCGTAGCACAGCCCTCAGGGCAGTCTGAGCTCCTAGATCCCCTGGCCTTGGTGTGGGAAATCACATTTGCCCATCAGTTCAGCTGAAGCAAGGCTGAGACTTTTAAGAAGGGCATTTTGCTAAACAGAAGAAAGGAAAAGAGTACAAACCACAGGGACAGGTGAAATTTATAACGCTTGTGTCTCTCTTCCCAAGAAAGCAAAAGGCCAGTCACAAATTCACCTGAGGTATAAGATGAGCATTTATTGAGTACCTTTTGTATGCTAGGGAACATCTGGTGTTTACATCCGGTAACTAATTCATTCCAGTTTAAGCTTCACAGCAACTTCAGCAGGCAGGGGTTATGCCCGTTTTCTAGAAGAAGAAACCGGCCTGGAGCGGTTAGGGGAGGTGCCCTTAAGGTCCCAGAGATGGTCTGGGATTCAAACCTAGATCTGTCTAATAACACAGTTGGGGCTAGTTTCCCTGCATTTGGCCATCTGGACAGCTCTTCGCCACATGGCAGTCTTCTTGGGAAGTCTGGGAAACACCAGGTGAAAACACTTTTTTTTGGTCCTGGAGGGTTTCCCTGCTTCTAGGGCTCCTTTAGCGATGGGTTAATATCTCTCCCCCCGCATACCAAGAAATTAACTTTTCTGGGTACTTTTGCCCTTGACATCCAAAGGGTCTCACCTTTTCTCTCTTTTGTGAGGGAAAATTGTTGCTTTCCTATTCTGTTAACAGCTATGAGAGATGATTTTCTGAGGCCAGAAACTTGAGGGGATGACATAGGCAGTCTAAAAATAGGGCAGTTTGGGGCCCAGACAATGTCAGGGTCATGGACAAATTCAGCTAAGAGAGATTTAAGGGAACATCTTAAGAACCCTCGAATCCGTAAGTACATTGGGCCTTATCTGTTAACTAACTCAAGACAAGTATACCTACTGGTATGTAGAGAGGGGACTCCATTGAGATTAAGGAAAGCCACTTTTACTAAAAAATATAAGGAGCTATGGACAGTCCAAACTCTTTGCTTAACCCTTGAGGAAACAGGGACCCAAAGAGTGAAATGACTTGCTAGAGTTCACCCAGCCAGCTGGTGGAACTGATCAAAGCCTGCAGCTGTCAGTCCTGGCGCTCTTTGCTACTGTGAAGTGGTGTGCCTGCAGCTGTGCTGGGTGTCTTGGAATATACTGGGAGACATGTATGCATGAAAAACATGGTGAGCATAGCCTTATTTTGGAGTTTGTTTAGAAAGAGAGTCCGGAGAGCTTGGGCCATAATTCTTAAATTCTGATTCCAGCTCGAGGTTGCAGTGTGAATGTCCACTCACATTCAAATAATCTGGCTCAGTGATGGATATAGGCTTGCTGCTGTTTCATGCCCAGTGTCCCAGCCCTTCCTACCTCCCTGTCTTTGGTCCCCCTCAGGCCCAGAAGAAGCTGTAAGGGAGGCAGAGAACAAGCTCGAAGATGCTTTTACTGAGAAGGAGAGGGACTGGACAGATTCCTGACAAGCCTAGGCAGAGATGTTCCAGGTTTGGGAAAGAGATAAAATAAATAGGTGTTTACTGGGGAGGCTCCAACACAGCCAGAATGCGCACTGTTTGCTTCAGCCTCCGGGCCTGTCCATTGTTTTTGCTGTGTGAGCTGGGGTGTGGGGTTTGCTGCAAACTGGGATCCAGAAGAGGAATTCTCGGGGCTCTAATGGGTATCAGATCTGCCATCTTGCATCAGCGGGGCCTGGTTCTTGGAGGGGTCCAGTCCAGTGACTCGGGGCTTATCTGAGGAAAGAAAAAGATTCAGATAAGCCTGGCAGCAGGTGAGGGATCTGTGGAGCTTGCACCACCGGTAGGCTCGGAGCCTCAAGGTAAGCCTGAATGCATGAAGCTAAGCACCTGGGCAAATATCCTGCGCCCAGCACCCGACACACTCAGTTCTGCCCCAGGGCTGTGCCTGCAGGCTTGTTCTCCTGGTACTCTCTCTCACCCAGGAGCACCAGACACTCTCAATGGGAGTCAGGACCCCAGGGTGTCCTCACCCCCAGCAACCTTCTGACAGCCTCCAGCCGGGACAGGATTCGTGGGGCCTCCTGTGGACATAGCATCTGTAGCTCCCCAGGTCTCATTCGAAGTAGCTGGCTCCCTGTCAGGGACCCAAGGGTCCTCACCGTGCTGTGAACCAAACAGCAAAAGCCATCGGTGGTGGGTTGGAAGGACCCCAGGCCTGAGCATTTGAGTAGAGAAGGGGCTCTTGGGGCTTGGAGGTTGGGGTTACAGAAAAATTTATGGAGTAGGATGTCTGAGAGTGAAGGAGTAAAGTTAGCATTTGGCTCCAGCCAATTTCAGAACTTCCAGGTTTGAAAGAAGTACTCTGGGACAGAATCTCCTGGCTGGGGAGGGACGATTGAGCTGGCAGCTGGGGTTCTTCCCGAGTCCACTCCCTGATCCTTGCTGCCTTTGCCACGTCAGGACTCACCACTTAATCTCTAATCTAGGCTTGGACAAGCCTCTGCTCTGTCCTCTTTGGCTTAGCAGAGACAGCGCTGGAACGGGTGTGTTCTGGGTCTCTGGGTTTCCTTGGTTAGCCCTTTACATAGTTTCTCCCTCCACATCCTGTAGGGCCCGGCACTCACAAATTGGAGAAGTTCTCTGTCTGCAGCCAGGCTGTGACCTCTTCAGGCTTCGAGCTAAGTCGAAGCATTGGAACCTAAGAGTCAGGGGGAACTAGGGGTCAGAGTTCATTTCATCTCACAGCCAACCACAGGCTCTAACATCTGGGTCCCTTCTTCAGGCTCTCATCAAATCACTTCTCCTACTCTGGCAGGGAGCTGGTCTTGTTCTGTGCTCTGGCCCCATGGTAAAGTTGGCACACACTGAGAGTGCAGTAGTATGGTCTAGGTCAAACCCGGACTATCTCCTCTACTTGACATTGAATCCTCCCACTCCCGTCTCCAACGCAGGACATAGGGCTCTGGATAGTCCAGGCTGGGTAGTACCCGAGAGGATGACTGGCCCTGGGTCCCAGGGAGCCCTGACTGTAGAGGCTCCAGGATGTTGCTGGGAATGTAGCCGCTCTGTCCTGCCTTGTTCTTCACCAGCCACCACCGCTTGCTGTGGTCCAGAACCTGCCAGGAGTCATTCACCTCAGTCCCCTTCGCCTCTGTCCAGCCAGCCTTCCCTCCCCACACAAGGCTTTTTCCTTCTGGCCCTTTCCCACCCTCCTTCTCCCTCTCTAGGCCACCCACCCTGGCAGCCCCATCCCCGGACCACCCTCCCCGGCTGCCTGCAGCTTCCACCAACCGCCACCTCCTTTTCTAGCCTCTGGCCCAAGCCTCACCTCCAGCTCCTCTCCCTGGACCACAGTCAGTTCCCGTGGGTTCCTAGCTTCAAACTCGTACAAGACTTGCATTTTCAGGGCTGGCTGGACAGGTGCAGGACTGGTGGGCTTGGAGTTGGGGTCCCCAGGCTGAGGATCATGGTTAGGTGTCTTCTCCTGAGCAAAGTGTGAGGTGCTCCCTAACCTGTGACTTCCCCTCCTAAGAAACAGAGTCAGGATGGCTGGTAGCAGGTACCCCCACAGGTATCTCGTGCCTGCAGTCTGATGGTAACTCTTGGGTTTCTATAGAGTCTGCTGGCAGGTCAGTGTTAGGTGGGGCTTGGAGTGTGGCTTTTTGCAGGCAGGAGGGGTCTGAAATGTCACTATTTCTGAAGACATTTCTGGGAGTGGAATTTTCTACATCTGAGCTCTGCCCTAAGCACTTTATACTTGAGTTTGGGAAATCAAAGTCATGCGTGGGTAGTATCATGAGAAGAAGGGATGAGAGCCTGGGAGGGTAGAACACTGTTTTTCACCTAAGGTAGGAGAGGGGTGTGTTTATATATGTTTGTCTGGCTAAAAGAGACCCTCTTGGCTCTCTTGAGATGTAGAGAGCCAGAGATCCAAAGGAACGGCCCCGTCTGTCCCTCCCCAGGACCATGAAGTCCCTACTAATCCCAGGGCATACCGAAGGGAAGCAGAGTCCTGGTATCCTAAGAGTGCCTGTAAAGGACAGAACAGATAGTGAGTAAGAGCAGGAGGCAGCCAGCATGGTGGGAGGGAGGTGGGGTATCTGACCGCACGCATAAGCAGCTCACACACAGCTACCCCCTGTCCCTTCTCCTGCCTCCCCCAGTATACAGATACAGATACCCACATGAACCCACCCACCACTTGGAGATGGGACCTCAGAAATTGAGCCTATGTCCCAGCCCTGAGAGTCCCCCCAAATGTCTCCTGTTGGCAGTCCGGCATTGACTTCTGGGTTCCCATAGAATTTGCTGGCATGCCAGTGTTAGGTCACACTAGTTGTGTGACCACGGTTTGGATGGGGAAGGCAGAAACTAGCCAGGGACTAGGGCTGTGGGTAGGGCACTGCGCCAAGCTCCCCTTACTTGGCTGGAGGGCTCTGGAGGTTTCCAGCCATCAGAGAATGTGGGTTGGTAGGGCAGGGGCTCATCACCTGTCCAGTCGGCCCTGAAGAGGGAAGCAAAGCTGAGTTCACAACTTCTCTGTGCCAGGCAGTGGGATGTGGAGAGGGAGGGGATGACAGGGCCTAGCCTCAGGAATCTTCTGGTTAATAGGTGACATGGTCCATGTGCACAGATGAAAGGCCCCAGGACACCCACAGAGGAGCAAACAGTTAAGCCTGGACATATCCCATGGTGCAGGTGTCTGCGGGCCAGCCTCACTTCTGCCCGTGAGGTAAAGATACACCACCCCCGCAGGAACACGATGGACACTTCATTGCCCTGATTGGGTGTTTGAATTGAAGTAGTAGAACTACAAGAGCTTTTGGGCTGGCTAATACCCTGGGGGTCTTGTGCAGTGTTTTTCTAGGCTGTTTTCAGTTTCCCAGCAGCAGATCCCTTTCTCTCTAGCTAAATAGTCTGTGGATTTCCACCTTGTGAAGTAGACTGCAACTGAGCTGCTCTGGTTGACTCTGGGATCGGCTGGTCCTTGCCTATCAGCCTCCCCTTTGCCCATTGCACAGGACCCAGGAGGACCATGCTGTTTGTGGCCTTCAGGCTTGCCTGCTTGGAATATTTTCCACTTGTCTGCCCAGGGAATGCCTATTCATTTCTCTGAAGAAGTTGCCCTCCTTTCTTCACTGGGACAGGAGCAAATGTTTTGCTGAACTTGGCACATCCCTGGAGTATTGCTCATCACGCTGCATTGCTCATGATTCTTATCTTTTTGTTTCTTACTATGTATAGATCTCCTTGGGGGCTGCTCCCTGGAACAGTGGCTGATACATAGAAGGCAGCTATTAAGTGTTTATTCAATGGGAACAAAGGAACGATTCCCTCTTCTGAATCTTCTTTTTTTTTTTTTTATTGAGACGGAGTTTCGCTCTTGTTACCCAGGCTGGAGTGCAATGGCGCGATCTCAGCTCACCGCAACCTCCGCCTCCTGGGTTCAGGCAATTCTCCTGCCTCAGCCTCCTGAGTAGCTGGGATTACAGGCACGCGCCACCATGCCCAGCTAATTTCTTGTATTTTTAGTAGAGACGGGGTTTCACCATGTTGACCAGAATGGTCTCAATCTCTTGACCTCATGATCCACCCGCCTCGGCCTCCCAAAGTGCTGGGATTACAGGCTTGAGCCACCGCGCCCGGTCCCCTGGATCTTCTTAATTGGTTCCTTCTGTGCCTTAGAAACATGCTTGGGTCTTGACCCTAATACTACTCTTATAGGCTGTCATCCTATTGCTTTCTTCTTACCAAATTTCTTGAGAATGTGCCTTTATCCTCTGCCTATATATTCTTGTCTCTGTTTCTTTCATTATTGCTGCAACCTGCTTTCCACCTCTGCCATTACTTTATTTGAACTAGTCTATTTAAAATGCTGATTGCAAATTCAAGGGCCTTGTATGGTCTCCGTCCTTCTGGATGACCACAACATTTAGTGTTACTTATAGCTTTGGGTCAGTTTGCCTAAAATCAAGTCATCTAAATATCATTTGCCTGAAATTCAACTCTTTTGAGGGTTTTTACGTGTCCTTAGGTATTCTATTTCCTATGTTTCTGTCTTTCATTTATTTCTGGTTATGTTAAGAAATTAGAAAACATCTAAGGGCACAGCTGACTTAATATTACATTTAAAAGTATTTATCAAATGTACATCATTTTATGAATACTGAAGTTGTTTGCATCTTTGTGGGTATTTAAAAAATTATATGTGCTCATCTGTTTTACTAAGGACTCAATCGTTGAAGTAAGGCTGGGTTTTGAAACACAAAGTGGTGTATTCAACATGCTTCTTCAGTGTTAAAGTGGCTGAATGAAAGAATCTGAGGCCTTCTTGTTTGAGTCCATTGCAGAAACTGTGTTTTCCTCTCCTGCTAGTGCTAAACAGATGCCAGAGCTATTCCCACAGACGGTGGGAGCCCAGCACAGCCCTAAGAACTGTGAGACTGGCTTATGCAGGTACTCTTAGTCCCAGTGTTCTGGATAGCTGAACACTGGTATGTGACTGGAGGTCCAGAATTGATAAGTGATTTCATTTAGTGACTGCACTGAGAGTGCATTAAAATAAATGGTTGGCCGGGCACAGTGGCTCACACCTGTAATCCCAGCACTTTGGGAGGCCGAGTAGGGTGGATCACGAGGTCAGGCATTTGAGACCAGCCTGGCCAACACAGTGAAACCCCGTCTCTACTAGAGATACAAAAAAAAAAAAATTAGCTGGGTGTGGTGGTGGGTGCCTGTCATCCCAGCTACTTGGGAGGCTGAGGCAAGAGAATCGCTTGAACCCGAGGGGCGGAGGTTGCAGTGAGCTGAGATCATGCCATTGTACTTCAGCCGTGGCAACCCAGTAAGACTGTCTCAAAAAAAAAAAAAAAAAATAGATTGTTATGGGTGGAAACAACCCCTGTGTCCATCAGCAGATGAATGGATAAACAAAATGTGTCATATCCATAACAATGGGATATTATCCAGCTACAAAAAGGAAGGGCATTCTGATAGATACTACAATATGGATGAATTGTGAAGACATTAAGTGAAACAAGCCACATAGGACGGGACAAAAAGGGACAAATATTGTATGATTTCACTTATATGAGGTTCCTAGAAGAGGCAACGTATTTCTCAGGGAGACAGAACATATACAGAAAGTAGAACAGAGGTTTCCCAGGGTTGAGGAGTGGCTAATGAGGAATTATTGTTTAATAGGTACAGAATTTCTGTTTGGGATGATGAAAAAGTTCTCAAAATACTGTAGGCAATGGTGTTGGTTGCACACATTGTTGATAAATGTAATGCCACTGAACTTAATACACTTAAAATGGTTAAAATGATAAAAATGTAAATTTCATGCTATGTATATTCTACCATAATAAAAAATAGACAGTTTTGAACTATAATTCATGTCTTAAGACAAGCTGGACAAAAAATATTGCAAATGGGGCTGAATTGAAAAGAACTGATCATGCCGGGTGCAGTGGCTCACGCCTGTAATCTCAGCACTTTGGGAAGCTGAGGGGGGCGATCCCTTGAGCTCAGCAGTTCAAGACCAATCTGGGTAACACGGTGAAACCCTGTCTCTACAGAAAATAGAAAAAACAGCTAGACATGTTGGTGCACACCTGTGGTACCAGCTCTTTGAGAAGCTGAGGTAGGAGGATCGCTTGGAGCCAGAAGGTGGAAGTTGCAGTGAGCCGAGATCATCACAGCACTGCACCAGCCTGAGTGACAGAGTGAGACCTTGTCTCAGACAAAACAAAAGTCGTTACTAAGCAAATAACTCCAAGGAAAAACTCCTTTCCTTGTTGGCTTTTCTGTTTTTCCAAAGCCTCCTTCTCGCTTGGTTTTTATCCCTCTGCTCTTCGGGTTCTCCTTAACTCTCTGGAATTATTCTCTGCCTTCTTAACCCTTTTTGCATTTGCCATGTAGAAGTTGCCATGACACTTGCCTCTTCTCTCATGGAATAGAGCAAACTGTGCTTGTCAAGGTATATTCAGGGGCTCCCTCTGGAGTGCTCCCCAGTAGCTGTGCCTCCAGCCATCACTGCTGTGCACCCCCTCTCAGCTGCCCGGCCACCAGGCCTCTGCAGAATGTTCCAAGGATGCCTCAGCTCAGTGTGCCCAAGCTGGTCCCTCCCACTCCCCTGGCTCTCGTCTGTTTGACGTTTTGTATTGTTTTGATTTTTGAGACAGAGTTTGGTTCCTGTCACCTAGGCTGGAGTGCAGTGGCGTGATCTCGGCTCATTACAACCTCCGCCTCCCAGGTTCAAGCAGTTCGCTTGCCTCAGCCTCCCAAGTAGCTGGGATTACAGGCATGCACCACTACACTCAGCTAATTTTGTCTTTTTGGTAGAGATGGGGTTTCTCCATGTTGGTCAGGATGGTCGGGAACTCCTGACCTCAGGTGATCTGCCCACCTCGGACTTCCAGAGTGCTGGGATTACAGGCATGAGCCACTGTGCCGGCCCTGTTTGCCTTTTTTGTGCAGCTGCCTGTCTTACAGTTACCCCTGCAGGGAGTCTCTTTCTCTCTGAACTCCTGGCTCGTTGGTTGCCAAGTCTTACTGACATTACATTTGCAACATCTCTTACGTCAGTAATTCTTAAATTTTGGTCTGGATTGAGACAAAGTTTTCACTTTGTCCTTGACAAAAATGAGAGAATATTTTATTAGAAGGTTACGATCTCCCTTTTCTTGGGAAAAACTGTTCTTTTTTCTGAGATAACATGTTTCAGTGTGGGTGATGGCAAGTGTGTGCTTTTCTTGTTTTAATAAGCCATTTGTACTTAGCCAAATAAAAAGTTGGGAACTCTATGTAGAGTCCCCTGAGTTGCTCTGAGATATTTCTGGTTTGTGACAATATAGACCCTCAATACAGAGCCACCTCTCATGCCCTGCCTGATGCTTCCATTCACCTCACTCCCGATTCAGTTCAGGCCTTATCTTCACTCACCCACTAGTTGTCCATGCCAGGCCCAACCCCATCCAGAGGTTACTCTCAGGTGGGCTTAGACAGGACTGCAGCAGGTCGATGGCTTTAGAGGTGAGGAGGGGTGAGATCACTTGGGCTGCTAGGCCAGACTCAGGGCACCTGGCCAGGATCTAGGGGAAAGATGGAAGGTGTCAGGAAGCCTAGGCTCCCACAGGGCCCAGTGAGGGTGGGAAAGGGCCCCGAGTCCCTGGCTTCCCACTTTTGCAATGCTACGATGTTACCTCCTGCAAGTGGCCCCACCTGCCTCGGGCCTGCTTCTCCTTCCTGTCTCCCTCAGAGCATTGGTATCCTTGGCTCTGGCCCCAGCTCATCTGGTTCCACCCTAGCCCCTACTCCTTGTCCCCCTCCACCAGCCTCCTTTCCTCCCTCTGCTCCTTCTTGACTTCAGCCTGTCCCTCTTCACCACCCTGCCCTCCCCTGACTCACAAAGTTCAGAGATTTGAAGAGGATGTGCACGAGCTCGGGGGCACTTGTCTCCTGCAGCCAGGCAGCCAACCTTCCCTGGGGACACAGGGAAGCCTGTTACCACGCCTGACCCCACCCCACCTTCACCAGGACCCCAGGGCACCATAATTGTTTTATGCTTTGGCTGGGAGGCTGGGTCTCCCCAAAAGTCCCAAGAGGGGAGGGGGAGTTCTAGGGGGAGTAGATGGAGAAGAAAAAAGCTTGGAATGGTTGAGTCCAAACAGCAGAGGGTTACTGGCGAGGACGAGGAAAAGGGGAGGCCTAGTGAACTCGTGGGGAGCCACATACCAGGAGGTTGAAGCTGTACTTAATCTTCTGGAAGCAGTCAGTGTACTGTGCCCGTGTGAGCCCTGGGAGAAGGGGCCAGGGCGGTCGGCCTCAGATCATCCTGAAACACCCCCTGCTCCTCTTCCCCTGGCCCTCCAAACTCACCTCTCTGATTCTTGTTTTTTCCCCCAAATTTCTTCTTCCTGCTGGTCTTTGCCTGGGCCTCTTCCAGCTTTCCAATGAATAGTTCAATGTCCCTTAGGACATGGTTCAGTACTTCCTGGGCCCCAAACAACCCATGGCTTTGAATGGGCAGTTGGACCCACTCTAGAAATCCCAACACTGCCTCCCACACCCCTCCCACCACAAGCCCCAGCCTCAGGCCCAGCCTGGAGTACAAACAAGCCTCTCTGGCCTCCTTGCCCAGGCCCTGGCCATCCTGGGACCCTGGCCTCCTAGGAAGAGAGGGAGGGTTGGTCTCCTTCCTTCTCCCAGGCCCAGAAAGCCTCAGCAAGCCCAAGACCGTCCGCAGTTACCTCGTCCCTCTCTGGGTCCTCGGGGGAAGGGGACCGCCTTGGAGGAGACAGAGTGAAGGGACTTGGTTCTCGGGCACTGGGGTGGTGTGGCAGGGGCCTTGGGGATGGCGGGAGGCCTGCAAAGTGAGGAGACCATGAAACTGGGTCTTGGATCTTTGACTTTTAAACAGAACCTCTCTTCCACATGCCCCCATGTCCCAAACTTACTATGCTCTGGGGTCCTCTGGTGGGGCTGTTCTGGAAGGGGCCCCCGCTCCAGATAGAGTGCCTGCTCCATAGGGAGTGGCTTTTCCGCAGGAGGCCCCCTCCGTCTGTCCTGGTCTGGGCGAAGTCCTCCAAGTTGGGGTCTGCTGAGGACATGGTAGAGCCCACATCTTTGACAAGGTTCTTGGTAGAGAGGCCCTGCCCACACTTCTGCTCCGGGACTCAGGGGCACCACCACCTCTCTCCAGGACCTCCACTCCCTGGCCTCCTTCTGGACCCACCCCTGACTCCACCCTACCTCATCTGCCTACCCTCTGGTCCCTCTCAGTTCTCATCGCAGTCTCTGGACAGTCTCTAGTGCCCCCTGGGCTCAGCCCCTTCCTTGTGCCCACCTCTGTCCCGGCTCCTCCTCAGTCCAGGCCCAGGTTGGTTGGGCTACAAGCTCCTGGGTTCCCCAACATATGGGATCAGGGTCTGGCCCTTGAGGCTAAGCTGGGAGGCTCCACAGGTGGGCTGGGCAGAGGCTGCCTACCTTTTCTCCAGCTCTTCCTCCAGAGCCTTCTGCAGGCCGGTCCTCAGTCGCTCTGCCTGGGAAGCAGCAGTCAGGCAGGCTAAGTGTGTGGGGGGAAAGGGGAGGCTGTGGGGGGTGACAGTCATTGAACCCCACCCCTGACCACTCACCCCTACTTCTTGGCACTGGAAGAGCAGAGTGCTTCTGCCTGGCAGGCCCGACTCCTGCACGGTGATGGACAGGATGGAGTTGTAGGAACATGTGTTGAGTGCCACATTCATGGCCTGGATGCTGTCCAGGCGGTAAGAGTCCAGCTCCTCCTGGGCCAGGTGGAGAGGTCAACTGTGAGGCCACCAAGAGCCAGGTATGGCTTCAAAAAGCTCCTGACCAGCTTATCTTAGCCCTTTGGTGGCCTGGGGCTGTGGTGTCATCTACCTGACTCTTGTGCCTCTGTCCCCAGCCTCTGTCCCCCGTCTCTTCCTAGGCCTGGGTGTGTGTTGTATGTGGGGAGGGTGGCTGCCCTTTGGGGCCTGGAGGGTGGAGTGGTGGAGTTCAGGAACTGGTGCTTGCTTCCCCACGGCCCAGGCCGGCTCTAGCTGGGTCTGGTGGGAGGGCTGACCTTGGTCTCAATGTCCAGCAGCTGCAGCCAGCCGTCCCTGACCTGCAGGGTCAAGTCTTGGCTCCACACCCGGCCCTGTGCATCCATCTCCAGCAGCTTCTGCAAGGCATCCTTGGGATCCTGGACTCTCTGATTCCCCAGCTTACATGTCATCAAGTGCTGCAGGGAGAAGGGGAGTCCCAGGACTGGGGGAAGGCTCAGAGAGGGGGACCACAGGCATGCTGGGTACAGGAAAGGCAGAAGAGGAAGGAGACGTCCTTGGCCCCCTTGAGGTGGGAGGTTCCAGGCTTCAGATAAAGCAACTTTCCAGGGCCAGTGTGAGGGCCAGTGTTGAAGCACTGGGGCCAGGGATGGGGGCTCCAAGTCTGGGTCTGAGGGGCTGCAGGAGGGGCTTGAGGACTCTGGAGGAAGGACAGGCATGGCCTTTACTAGTCTAGGCCGAGTGAGGCAGCTGGTGGATGTGGTGGATGTGGGCTCTAGCCACCCAACAAATAACTTCTCTGGGTGGGTTACAGGACTCTCAGATTCTGTTCCTGGCTGCGTTCGCTCCCTTTGGGAACTCAGTCCCAACCCAGTCTTCTTCCTAACTCGCCCAGCATTCCTGTCTCTGTCTCCCTGGTTCATGCCTGGAGGTACCATCGTGACCTCAGCTCCACTCAAGGCCTTGCCTACTGCCAGGCTGACCATTCATGAGTGTTTTGCGGTTATTCGCTCTCCTTAGGGAGACCCCTCCCTTCTCCCAGCCAAACACTACCTTCACAAGTCCCTTTCCACCCAGGTTTCTTGTTGGAAGGAGATGCAGCCTGCCTCCTGCCCCTTGATCCCACCCCACCCCCGCCTGGGGCCCAGCTTCTCTCCCTGTTTGGGCACTGCCAGCATGTTCAGGAACCCTGGCAGCATGAGCAAACCCCATCCTCCTAAGCATATCTCCTCTTACTCTGCCTGCTGGGCCCAAAAGAAGCCTGTTACTAGCCTCTACCCTCCAGAGAAGCTGAGTCCTCCTGGCCCCTCCTCGGCTGGCTGGGGGAGCCCTGCCTCCGCTGCCCTGTGGGACCTGCAGACCATCACCCCAGCTTCATCCATGCTTGTTCTCCACTGGATCCCTAACAAGTGGTGCCCAGGACAGGATGGCTTCTACCCCAGAGCTCCAGCCTGACCCTGTGCCTGCTCTCCCCCACCCTCGCAGCCTGCACTTCGCCTTCTCCTTGGTGTCAACAGTCCTTCAGTTACCTAAATCTTGCAGTGCCAGTGTCATCCTTTCTGGCAGGCCCAGAGACTCCATTCTTGCCTTGGTGCAGCCTTGGAGCTGCTCACCCTCACCCTGGAGGCTCAGGCCCAGGCGCCTCTCCTCTCCAGTCATGGCCCTTTCAATCCCCCACAGGGCCAAAGATCCCACACACTCTTGCCTCCAGCCATGCAAGGTCCTGGGCAAGGAGCATCGCCCAGGGGACTGGTGCAGCAGGGGATGGGAGACAGGTGGGTGGAGGTGGGTGGGTGGTTGCAGGTGCCTCCTAGCCCCTCCCACTGTTACTACTTCCTGTCTGGGGACCCACCCGCCTGACCTCCAGCCAGGCTCTCTCTGCTCACTCGGACTGCTCCTCCTCCTCCCCGACACGGAGCAGATGCTCTATCAGGCTTGCTGACTCTGAGTCTGCGGGACCTGGCTGGGTCAGGCTGTTGGCTTCCAGGGCAGGGACTTGTGTGAGGTGTCCATGTTCTGGCAGGGCAGTGGGCACATGGGAAAACTTGCGTTGGGTTGGACATGACCCAGGGCTGCAGAGGTACTCACCTCCACCCTGTGCTGCAGGAGGGTGGGCTCTGAAGTGAGGTTCTGGGAGTACTCCTTCCGGTGCACTACAGGGTCACAGAGCAAGGGGCGGGAGGTGAGCAGAGAGTGAGGTGAGACTCAGGCCACTGCTGGAGGTAGTTGGTGTGAGGAGGAGGGAGTGGAGGACAGGACGTTCAGGGGGCTCAGTGGGAGGGCAGGGGAGAGGGGCCTGCCAGGAGCTTACAGTAAATGGTTCTGCTGCTGGGCCTCGACATGCTGATGCTGCTGAAGACGGCTCCCTAGAACCCAAAGTGAACCAGAGGCAGCCATGAGAGCTGGGGAAAGGGGCACCAGGCACAGCAGGGCAGGACAGTTGCTATCGCTCTGACCTGGGGCCTCTAGGACCAGACCCAAAGCCCCTGGCTCCAGGGGCCCTTTCCAGAGCCATCTGCAGCCAGCGTCCTCCACCGAGGAGCCCTCCATCTTGGCTGGGCCTGGAGGCCCCAGGGGGAGGGAAGGGAGGGCAAGGGAGGCCACAGCATGGTTGGGCCCCAGGGCAGTCTCCAGGCCTCCCATTGTTTGGCTAATAAAGCTCATGCCAAGGAGTCCAGGACACCTGGATGGACACGGACCTGTGATCAGATTCTATCCTGGGCCTGGGTATGAAAGACACTGGAAGAGCAGAGGGTTCGGCAGCTGACCCCGCCAGAGGAGGCCCTCTTGTTCAGTCCTGTTTCAATTCTGCAAACTGGGAGGACGCTGATGCTGGCTCTTCAGCTGCAGACCCTGTGGGAAGACTGCATGCATGCGTGTGCATACTCATGATGGCACTGCAGGACTCTCCAGGGAGCTGGCCTCCCCGAGTGTCTCCCCAGGCTTCCCGGCTCTTTGCTTTTTGTCCTCTGTATCCTCTGCCCAGGTCCCCTCCCCACCCCAACCCTTTAAATTCCTCTTGGTGAAGCCCTCCGGGACCATCCAACCCCACCCCGCCCAGGGTACCCGCCTAATGCTGCGCTGGACCTTGTACATTTCTCTCCAGCAACAAGTCACAACAGCCACCACGGGGCTGAGAGCCTGATGCGGAGCCCCTTACCCACATCTTAGCAGTTCCTTCCCGCTGAGTTCACTTGTATTTACTTGGTGCCATCACTGTTCTAAGGGCTGTACCTTAAGTCACTCTAATCCTCAAAGCAACCTCAAAAGGCAGGTACTGGTACTGTCCCCATTTACCCGAGAGGACTCTGAGGCTCAAGGAAGGTAACAGGCCTGAGGTCACAAATGAGTGTTTAATGGAGAGCGAACCCAGACCTATCCGACTGCCAACTTTATGTTTTAATGGTTTACAAACATGCCTCTGCCCCTGGGCTGTGTGCTGTCACAGAGGGAGTCTAGAGAACACACATGTTGAAATGGAGTGGAATTAAATATGGTGTGTGTGTGTGCGCTGGGTGGGGATGGGGTTGGTCTGAGCGGGTCAAGGGTATGTGCTATCTGAATGAGGTTTGTGGGTATCCACATGTCTACATGGTGCACCTGAGTTGTGCAGAAATACTGGGATCCCCTGGGTACGTGCAAGAGAGCAGCTCACACCCTTGTTTATTAGGACTGTTATGAAAATGACAGAGGAGCTGATAAGATGACTCAGTGTGGACAGAAACAAACTGCCAGTGCACCATTAAGGGAACATGAAGCGACGGCCGGATCTCTGGTTTCCTTGTTTGGGAGAACCCTTTTTCTCTTCAGGGGTAAGGGGGGTCTAGAAGCTTGCTCCCCTCCCCCAGCCTCCCTAACCCCCATTGTGACACTTCCTGCTTTTCCATGCTCTCCATGTGGAAGAGGAAGTGAGGTCTTCCCCTGGTCAGCCCCATTCCCCACTCCCCACTCCCCATGCCCCACTTCCCCAGTACCAGGGTGGGCCCCACCTGTGGGTAGTTCAAGGTGGGAAAACAGTTGCTGCAAAAGATCCCTACCCAGGAAGGGAAGAGGGGACTGGTTTGGACTGACTTGCTCCTTAGGGCTGGGGGAGCTGTGACAGCCCAGTTTTCCCCTTTAAGCCCTAGATGTAGGAGTTTGGAACAGGGAAGGCCATCAGCTCAAAGACTCTGGGGCAAGCACCTCAGAAGTCCTTCCAAAGGCTGGACCTTGCTTTGCTTTCCAGCTCTCCAGCCAGCTGCTGAGTCCCAAGCCCCTCTTTGGGCTTCATCCCCTGGGTAGCAGCTGGGAACAGGTGGGAGACCTGGCTTGGGAAGCCACTGAGTTGTCCCCACCTGCCCTGGGATCCCCTGTGACTGAGCTGGGCCCTGATCTTGCCTGGGAGCCAGGCTCTTACCTGTGTGCCAGTGAAGCCGGGCGGCTAGTCCTCCGGAGGGGCTGGTCTTGGAGCAGGTGGTCCAGGGCTGGTGGCAGAACAGCGGCTTCTGTGCTAGTGGCCGCAGGCAGAGCCTGCCTCTGATGAGGCTTCAGAGGCAGCCACGCCTGTGCTCTTTGGACTCTGGCGGGTGGGGAGGTCTCCTGGCCACTAACTGCTCAACGTCAACCTGGACCCGCTACAGTGTTTGCTGACAGTTGTCCCCAGCTTAGCTAGAGACCCCTGCTTCCCTGTTTCCCCCTCTGCTAGCCTTGGTGTGTGGCCCCCTCTTCCCTCTGCCTTTCGGGTGCCTACTTTGGGGAATCAGGTCAGCATTAGGCATGGGGCTGGACCAGAAGGAGAGAACACGCATGGCTCGGAGAGGTTGGGCTCTGTGGTCAGGGCACAGGTTGGCCGGAGGTGGACTCCAGGCTTGTGGGAAGCTGTGGGCCGGCATGTGTGCCATGTGTGTGCGTGTGTGGTACCCATAGGTGTGTGATTCTGTGTGCCTGGGTGCTGCCTGTGAGCAGGACATGGATCTTGTCAGAGAAGATGGGGACTGGGGCGCAGAACCACACGGGGCATTAAATGGAGGGCTGAGATTTCCTCCAGCAGGGTCCTGCATCCTGTCCCTTCCCACCCAGTGGGACCCCCTTTACCCGCCCATTCTTGCTCTTGCATTCTCTTTCCTTCTGTACCCCATCTTATGCTCAGACCCCTGGTAGATGCCTGGCCAGCTTCAGCAAAGATGGGAAACTGAGGCCGGGATCTATCTCTAGTCATGAACCTACCCACTTCCCATACTTCATGGTATTGAAAAAACTTTCTTGACAGGCTACCTGCCCTCTGGGAACTCACCAGTCTGACCAGCGAGGCCAAGTGTGAATAGAAACCAGGGAACAGTGCAGGAGGGGAGGTGGGGGTGGGGGAGGCCCAGTGAGCCTCAGACCTTCGTGGGCAGAGTGCAGGGCCCTGGTGCAGGGCCCTGTGATGGAGTGTCCTGTGGAGTCTGAGGGCTGGAGCTGTCCCGTGTTTAGCTTCCCTGGAACTATACCAGGAGATCTCAGCCTCCTCTCCCACCACCACCCAACCCACACTGCCCTGGATGACCTGGAGTCCACGGGTCAGATCCCAGGGAGAGTCCCCGCCTGAGCTGTGTGGGTTCCTGGCAGAGTCCAGTGGGCAGCCAGCTGCTGGGGCCCGGGGATCAGGTGCCTGTGAGGCCAACACCCAGCCGCGGCCCCATGGGAAGCAGTCCTGGGGTTCTGTTCCCTGGTCTCCATCTTGTGGCCCTTCACCTTCTTTTAGGATAGCACAGCCTGTCCCCTGGTTGCCTCCCACAGCTCCATAAAGGCCATACTCATATTTTTACCCCAGCCCTGGCTTGGGGCCCAGGCAACACTTCATTTCTGCCCAGCTCAGGCCAGGCCCATCCTTCCCATAGGCCCCTCCCCAAGTCAGTGTGAACACAGCAGGGACTCCATGAGGGCCCTGGGACAGGGTGAGCAGGGGCAGAGGACCAGGGAGGGGCATTGGTAGTACTCTGCCCACTGCAGCGCCCTTTAGGGGTGACCCTGGGAGCAATGTGGGTCTCCTCAGACAGAAACCCTTTGTGGTCTGGGTGGGTCTGGGGCCTGGGGCCAGGTATCGGGGACATCTGCTTCCATGGAGCTCCACAGGAAAGAGGGACATCAGGAAAGAGGGAGAGGCCACGCTTCCCATTTCTGGGGATTTGGGGCCATAACTGAAGCTTCTGCACAAAGCTCCAGGTACCTCAGCAGTTCTTCTGCAAAGGAGTTCCTGCTGAGGCCTCAGGAGCTGGACTTAGGTTCGAGGGGAAGGAAGCAGGACTCAGAGGGTGTCTCCTTGAAATTGTGGGGTTACAAAGGCCGTGGGACCTCATTCCTTCATTCCTTCATTCATTCCACAGTTTCCTGTAGAATTGAGGACCTCCTGCCTGCTAGGCCCTGTGAGAGGCTCTAGGATCCCTCTGGAGGGCTTACAGACACCTTGGAATTCAAGCTGAGTTCATTATTTCTCAGCAAACAATCTCCCCTCTGATATTCCCATCTCAGAGAAGGCACCAGCCCCCAACAGTGTGTTCTAGCAGGGAGCTGGAGTCCTCCCTAAGTCCTCCCTCATTCCTCACACCTGATGCACTACCCCTCCTGGCAGTCCCACCTCTGGGGCAAATCCTAAGGGTCCTCCTCTCTGCCCCGCTGCTCAGACCCTGCCATACCTTCTGCCTTTGGCCCTGCCGCAGTCTCCTCACCTCACTCTCGTTCTCATTGATCCTGCCCGGCTGCCAGTAGGAGAAGCTTGCTTTTCTTTTTCTCTCTCTCTTTCTTTCTTTCTTTTTCTTTCTTTCTCTTTACTTCTTTCTTTTCTTCCTTCCTTCCTTTCTTTCCTTCTTTCTTTTTTTTTTTTTTTTTGAGACAGAGTCTCACTCTGTCACCCAGGCTGGAGTGATCTTGGCTCACTACGACTTCCACCTCCCAGGTTCAAGTGATTCTCCTGCCTCAGCCTCCTGAGTAGCTCGGATCACAGGGGCATGCCACCATGCCCAACTAACTTTTTTTTGGTATTTTTAGTAGAGAGGGGGTTTCATCATGCTCGTTAGGCTGGTCTCAAACTCCTGACCTTGTGATCTGCCTGCCTCGGCCTCCCAAAGTGCTGGGATTACAAGCGTGAGTCACTGCGCCCGGCTGGGAAGCTTTCATAACTGGAAATTTGATTTTCCACTCCTTTGCCTAAAACCCCTTTCTGACTTCCCGCTGCTCACAGGACAACACCCAAACTCCTTCTCAGGGTAACTGAGGTTCTTGATGAACTCAAGGACGCTGTTTCTGAGTCTGGCTTTATCTCCCCCAGTGCCCTGCCCCTTGTACTTTATACTCAGCTTGGAGCATGGCTTGTAATTCCTTGAAGAGTCATGCCCTGGTACCTGGCTAGCCGCTGTTCTCTGCCTGGAATGCCCCGTGGAAACACTATACCTTTATGCTTCCAGTAAGCCTCCTTCAGAAGCCCAGGGCTGGTGGAGCTCTAGCCGGTGGCTTCCAGACACCTTGTCCACGCATCTCGCTGTTACTGCACGTATCACATTGAGGGGCATATCCCCATTAGATTAGAGTCCCTGATGACCCAGATTGTTTTCTGCCACAGTGTAGAGGGAAGGACTTGTAAACAGATGCACTGTTTACAAAGAACCCTACTCTGCCTGGGGGCATCAGGGAGGACTTCTCAGATGAGGGAATGCAAGGGCTGGCTCTTTAAGAATGCACAGTAATTCAGCCAAGAGGTGAAGTGGGCAGGGAGTGCAGGGCAGAGGGATTGCAATCCTACTGGATGAAGCGGCCTGGGGAGAGGTGGGCTGTGGTGTGAACTGTGTGGTGTGAACTGTGTGGTGTGAACTGTGTGGTGTGAACTGTGTGTGTGTACGCGTGTGCGCGCGCGCAGTGTGTGTGGCAGGGACGTGGTGCAGATGACAGCACAGGGGTGCCCTCATCACCTGGTGGTGAGTGGAGTCATTGAATGGTTTTGCACAGAGGTGCAAAAAGAAGGCTGCTGGGTCTCCGTCTTCTGGAAGACTCTGTTGCTAGCTGGTTCTCAGCATATAAGGAGAAAGGCCGTGGTGGAGAGGGATATTGGATGGACCCAGGTGCACAGGCTTTAGGCTAAGAGGCCAAGGAGCCCCTCCCTCCACTCTGGCCTGGGTCAGGAAGCAGGAACTTCTCTGGATGCTCCAGAGAAGGCCCTGGTCACAGCTGGGAAACTCTGGATGGCTCTGGGGAAAAGAGCTCCGTGTCCATGGAGGGCTGTGTGGGAGGTAGGGCAGGCTCTGGCATTCAGAGGTGAATGGGTGCCGCCTCACCCACAGAACCAGACCCCAGAGCAGGGTCCAGCCAGCGCCTCTTGCTGGTGGACTGTGTGGATGAGGCATAGCCTCAATGTCAATAAGGGGCTGGGCCCTGAGTTGTGGTGGTCCTGTCTACGGGCTGACACCTGGCCCTGTGGCTTCTGGGGAGTCACAGCACCCATCCCTGCCCCTGCTTTCCCCAGCCCTGGCACGGGGGTAAGTGGCTTCTGTGAGCAAGGTGGAAGAGTAAACAAGACAGATGATGTCCCTCCCTCTGGAGCTAGTGTGCCAAGGTGAAACAAATGCATCTGAAGATAATCAGGGTCCTGACAGGTAACAAGAGGGAAATAAAGAGAGTGAGGTGGATCACGGCATGGGGATGGGAGGGTGTTTTGGAAGCTTGATGTCAGAGAAGGCTTCTCCGAGGAGGGGAGCTTCAAGCCTAGCCAGGGATGGGAAGGAGCCTGGGAGAGGGGACCAGCAATGTGAAGGGCTTGCAGCTGGGGGAGAGGTGACTGAGATGGGGTGGACAGGGGCTGGAGCGTGCAGGGCTCTGTAGACCGTGGCCAGGAGCCTGGCTTTTATTCCAAGGTCAGTTGGAAGACATGGAAGGGTTTTAAGCAAAGGAGTGGCATGATTGGATTTGTATTCTAGACACAACTCTGGCTGCGGTGGGGAGAATGGGCTGTGGTGGGAGGTGGGGCAGACTCAGGGGGACCACTGAGCGGCTGCTGCAGGGAGGACGGTGGGGCCGGGACACGGAAAGGCAGGGAGGATGGAGACTTAGGCTGCAGGTGACACATCTGGGACGCGCTGTGGATTAGAAGGGGAGGTTGAGAGGGTGCAGGGGGACCTATGATGACTCAGGTCTTTAGCTTGGACAACTGGGTGGGTTGTGGTGACATCTGGCAAGATGGGGAAACTGAAGAGAAGAAGGATTGGGAGATGGAAGTGAAGAGTTTCTGTTCCATTCTGGATGGCCTCAGTTTGAGAGGTGTCTTGGGCCTCTGGGTGGAAGTAGCAGGAGGCAGGGGCAGGTGTGAGTCAGAGCTCAGCAGATCGCGATGACCACATGCAGCATTCGGAAGCAAGTAGAGAAAGATGCGTTGATGATTCGGAACGTTTGCAGTGTAGAGGAAAGGGTAGATACTTGGCAGCTGTAAATACATGAATAACATTCAGAGTCTAAGACTCATGAGACCATGTGGGGAAAGTGTGTAGATAAAGAGAAGTGAGCTCGAGACTCATCCCAGGCGCTCCAGCATTAAGAGACTGGAAAGGAGGAGGGGAGACCAAGGGCCACAGTGAGCAGCAAGGAGAACTGGGAGAAGAGTGTTTCAAGCAGGGGGGTGGATGCCTGGGCCAGGCTACCATCTGTGTGTTTGCGGTGGGCCTGGAACCAGCTGGGGAAGACTGAAGGGTGTGAGGGTGAGGAGGTGGGCTGTGAGTGAGCCGCCCAGTGTAGACGGTGGGCATGAGAGGCTTTGCTGGGGCTGGGGTGGTGGGCCAGAAATGAGATCCCTGAAACTTGTTCAGATGTGTTGAGGGTGGAAGACATCTTGTTGTAATCGCTATTGGGAACACGCTACTGCAGAGACAGACGAGACAACACAGATCCTGGGCGTGTGGTGGGAGGGAGGGTGGTCTCTGTGGCAGGGCAGGGGAGAGTGGAGCTTGTCTCAGGAGCCTCTGGCTAGGCCCTGGGCCAGACTCTGCTGTGCTGCCCACCCCTCCAGCTGCCTGCCCTCCCCGATAAAGGCAGAGGAAGGGGCTGGGGGAGGGCGAGTGGGTGATTTGAAGACAGGTGGGTGATTTACAGCCCCACAATTACAAGAGGGCCAGCGGCTTGAGTTTTCAGGAAAGAAGGCCAGGCCTTACGTGCTTCCGGAAGCTGCTCTGTCCAGGGGCAGAAGACGAGTTGGGATCTCTGACCCACAACCATTTTCTTTATTTTTTTATTTTTGAGACAGAGTCTCGCTCTGTCACCCAGGCTGGAGTGCAGTGGCCCAATCTCAGCTTACTGAAACCTCTGCCTCCCAGGTTCAAGCAATTCTCTTGCCTCAGCCTCCTGAGTAGCTGGGATTACAGGCACTCGCCACCATGCCCAACTAATTTTTGTATATTTAGTAGAGATGGGGTTTCACCACGTTGGCTAGGATGGTCTCGAACTCCTGACCTCAGGTGATCCGCCCACCTCAGCCTCCCAAAGTGCTGGGATTACAGGCGTGAGCCACTGCGCCCAGCCCCCACCCCTATTTTCTTAGCTCTCCTGGCTGCCTCCTTTTAAACCCCAAACCTGAAGCCTGTGTTTAGTGCTATGAATTCTCCTGCCTTTTCCAAATTGCTCTGGCAACAGATGTTGGTCCAGATGTTTTTCAGTTCCCGATTCTGTGCCTTGGTTCTGCACCTCCCCAGCCCTGGATTCCCTTGGTGGCTCCTACACATGCCCCCTCCTTCTTTCCCTCTCTTCTACATCCATCCCATCCAGGAAGGCAGTCCCAGAGCCTGGATTCCCCCAGCCCCATCGCTCTGACAGCCCTGGAGGAAGGGACCTCAGGGACAGCTGGAAAGTCCTTCACCAGAGGCCAGCCTTGGACTGGGATTCAGAGCAGGCTTTTCAGGAGAGCTGAGCTGGAGAGGAGGAGAGGAACCAAAGGCCAGGCTGGGAGGTGGCAGCTGAGGAAAGAGCAGCCTCTGGGAAAAGCAAGCTCTCAGGGATCTCAGGGGAGGGGCTTGGCTTGGGCCCAGCTCAGTCTGTGGGGCAGGTGGGGAGAGACAGGGAGAGGCGGTCCTATCACCATGCAGGACCATGCCCTGGGCCCCCTCCAGGAGCTGGCAGCACCGAGGCTTCTTTCTGGGCTGGGCCTGGCCAGCGGTCATGGGTATGGAGGGGAGAGGGCCTGACCAACGCTGCCCACTCCCGCAGACACTTCTGCTTCCGCCCCCCCACTGGAAACACAATGCCGTCATTCAGATCCATGGGGTGGAGGGATATTCAGTGATGTGGAAAAGCTCATCATTAGCAGATGAAAAAGACAAGTTACAAAATGGAGATCTTAGTTTTGTGAAACAAGCAAAGACACAAGTGGGTAAACCGGAACCATGTAAACGGAAGCAGAAAAACGTAAATGAAACCTGTAATCAGAGGCACCTAAAGAGAAAGCATTGCAATTAGGTAATAGCCGAACCTAGAGACGCTGATGATGTAAATGTTTATGATGGCGAGAAAAGCCTCTTACGAGATGCTAATACTCACTCTGTTAAGAAAAGCCGTAATGGAAATCTAAACAAAAAATGTTAACCATGTAAATTTAAACATGCATCCAGCACTTGCTCAATGACAGGTACCCATCTCAGTCTTTATCTCAAATGCTCACAACAGCCCTTTGAGATAGGCTCTGTTATTTTCACCTCCAGTTCACCTGTGAAGAAACGGAGGCACACAGATGCACAGAGAGGTTAAGTAACTTGTCCTGGATCACACCGCCAGAAAATAGCAGGCTTGTGATTTGCACCCAAGCAGCCCGTCTCGAGGAAGAGACATGAGAAGCAACAGTGCCAGTTATCTGTTAGATGTGCGTCTGTGTTGGGGTGTGGGGAGGACTTCTCTGTGGTTTTACTTTCTTTGTGCTTTTCTATATTTTCCAACTTTTCCCCAAAGAACGTGTTATGTTATTTTTGTAATCAGTGCATCTCCATTCCCATGCCACCCCACACAAAATAAATGGCAAATTTTAAAGTAACAAAACGAGACAAAGATGTCCTGGAAAGGGACTCCTTCTGGAGCCCTGGGACTCTGTCCTGCTCCCGAGGGGTTGTCAAAGGGGGAGAACAGTGGCCCCGGGACTGGGAAGGCCAGCGGGAGGGTTCAGCTCCCCTCTGTCTGATGTGTGGCCCCTTCGTGGTCCCAGAGACTCTGGGCTATGTTCCTGAGGAACTCCTAGGTCTCAGGCCAGAGCCAGACCTCATCCCGGCTGGCGCTGAGTGGTCCTGAGCTTCCTAAGCTTCGGGGAGGTGTGTGTCTGCATGTGCATGTGCGTTTGTGTGTGTAGGTGTGTGCACAGAGCCAGCATAGAGGAGTCTGGGAGCCCCCTCCTTGGTTTCTTGGCACCACACCCCGAATATATTCCCATGTCTGCACAAAGCAAGACTCCCCCTGCACCATCCAGCTGCTGAGGAACCCTGCTGGGGACCAGAAGCTCCTCACCTCCCCGGCAATGCAGGCCATGGAGGGTGCTTTCTGTTGCAGAGGGAGGGGCTCGGCTTCAGGAACACTCGGTGGGATCCTATCGCTGGCTCTTAGCCACGTGGCCTTGGAACCTGGGTTCTCTGAACTTCGGGTCCATCATTTGTCAAAAGGGCCGATGATGACTGCGTGGTTCACATAAGACAAATTGGTCCCAGAGCAGGGGCAGGGCTCCATAAACACGCTCCTTAAAGTCAGCCTCCCTGTAAGGCCTTCCTCTGCTGCCAGCCATCCATGTGATGCCGCCCAGAAGAGATCTGATCCCTGATGCACCTCTTCCCCAGGCAGGCTTTCCCCAGCTCTTCTGCCACCCTGGATAGCAGGCTGCCCAGGCTTGCTGCGTCTTCATCTCTCTAGAGTAGTTTTCTCAAATGCCTGGGAAACCTGGCTGAAAACGAAAGTTCTAGACTCTATCCGTGGAGAGTCTGATTTAGGAGTTCCAGGAAGGAGCCCCAGAATCTAATTTTTTATCATCTCCCAGTGGTTCTAAGTGCTCTGCTCCTTTCCAGTTGGCAATGTCTTGCCTTAAGTGTCATCCTGAAGTGACCAGTGCCAAGCTTGGACCTGAGAAGTCATCCCTCTGGCTGCCCCTGCTCTTCCCACCAGCCTCCTGGGTGCCCTGGGGGTGTGCTGTGCCACAGCCAGACAGTATCACCTCACACTTCTCTACAGGGCTCTCTCTGAAACTGGGCAGCAGCTGGAGCCAGGAGCCCTGGCCTCCCCAACTCTGCCCCTCAGTGGATTCTGTGCCAAGAATGTTTGTCCACATAGAAGCCTGTGCAGACAGCACGAAGGGCTCCCGGAAGGAGCGGGTGAGCTTGGCCTGTGGCTCTGCAGTCCTTCCTATCAGGCTGAAGGAGTCCCGCCCTGTGAAGAACACAGGCCTCCAAAGATTCTGCCCTGCGAGGCCTACTCGGGATTCCAGAACTGGCTCAGTGGAAGTAGGCAGCTGGGGAACAGTGGATAGGGGACCTCCTCTTGGCCAGTAATCTGAGATTCAGAGGCTCGCAGAGAAAATGCTGGGCCTCTCCAGCCCCGAGGCAGTTGGGGGGCCATGGGGAGGGTGGTGACCTCTTGACCCAGGGCAGGCATTCACTGTGTCTGGCCCTTCAGTCCTCTCAGAATGAAGCCCTCTGGACTGGAGGGGGTGGAGGGAGACCCACTATCCCTCAATTCCCGACTCCCTGAGCCTCTCCCTCAGACAGGTGCTCACAGCAGGCCCTGTCTCAACTGGCCAGCTCTGACCATGAGAGCATTCAGCCTAAGGCCACGGTCAGAGCTGCACCCCTGGAGCGGCCCCGAAATGCGCACCGTCTCTGATGCCAAGCCCTTGTGATATTTAGAGATAGTATCAGGCCCTCCTGGAGCCGCCCAGAGCACCATCAGAGCCAGAGCCCCTGCGTTCAAATTAAACTCTTGGAGCCTCAGTTTCGTCATCTATGAAATGCAGACATCCATGGCCGTTAGTGATGGAACGCGTGCCCTGGCCAGGCATTGCACTAAGTGTGTCACATGTTTATTTAGGCTTCCAGATCCTCTGCCAGCCCAGCGGGACTGGCTCCTGGCTGTCTGCAGAGCGGTGCCGGCTCCCTCTGCTGGAACGATTGTGAATCGCAGTCAGGATGGGAGACGACAAGGTAGAATTGCGCTGGGTGGTAGGGACCTTGGAGATGAAGTTCAAAAACACCTGGCCCAACCTGGTATTTCACAGATGAGGAAACTGAGGCCAAAGGTGGCCGCCTCAATGGATGATTTCTTTGATGTTTGCCTGTGTGGGTCCCAGATTTGGGCACTCTCCCCCTCGCCCCGACTCCACGCTGCAGAGAGGAGCTGGGCAGTTTGGTTCTGCCCATTGGCTCCCTGACTCCTGAACCCCAGTTTCCAGTCCAGCCCACCTCACTCTTCTGGGACTACTCGGCAGAGTGGCGGGAAGGACACCACCAGGATGCAGGCATAGGGCAGAGGCAGAGGTTCCAGCTGTGCTCTTCCTGCAGCAAGCTGCAGTTCAGAGGGCAAGGCAGGAGGTCAGAAGGGCTGGGCTATGGCGTCCACCCACCCACACCATGCCTGGGAAGGACAGAGCCAGAGACCTGGGGTCTCCCAGCAGGTGCCACTCAGGGAAGCAAGAGGGAGCTGCACAGCATCTAGGGTCCAGCGCATTTGCTCATCCAGCTGGTAATATGACTGATGACTGACGGTAGAGAGGCCCAGAGACACTTCCAGTGGGGACGCTAGCAGACTTGGAAGGTTCTGGAAAGTGGTAGCTTCTCCGTGTCTGCTCTTCATGGTACTAGCTCTCTGCTGGAAGCTATGTGATTTGCTTTATGGTTATTACTTTTCTTGTCGTTATTATTATTTTAGACAACAGAGTCTAGCTGTGTCACCCAGGCTGGAGTGCGGTGATGCAATCTCTACTCACTGCAACCTCTGCCTCCCAGATTCAAGGGAATCTCCTTCCTCAGCCTCCCGAGTATCTGGGACTACAGGCGACTGCCACCACTCCTGGCTAATTTTTGTGTTTTTAGTAGAGCTGGGGCTTCGCCGTCTTGGCCAGGCTCGTCTTAGGCTAGAGTTCAGTGACATGATCACAGCTCACTGCAGCCTCCAACTCCTGGGCTCAAGTGATCCTCCCGCCTCAGCCTCCTGAGTAGTTAGGGCTAGAGGGGTACACCACCACACCCAGCTAATTTTACAATTTTTTCTGGAGACAGGATCTTGCTTGAACTTCTGGCCTCAAACAATCCTCCTGCCTTGGCCTCCCAAACTGCTGGCATTGCAGGCATGAGTCACTGTGCCTGGTCTCCTTTCAATAATACTACAAGGTATGTATTATTAGGTCCATTTCATGGATGGGGCAACTGAGGCTTAGAGATGGAGAGAAGTGGTCAGGTATCTAGAAGAGCTGGGACATAAACCCATGTCCTCTGATGTGAATGCCTTTCCACTAGGCATTGCCTCCTGTCTGTTCTTGTCTCTGCCCCCTCAGTAAATAGCCATGGAGCTCCTAAAAAGAATAAGACCTTTCACTCTCCCTTCTTTCCCTTGCCTACTGCCCCTGAGTGAGTGCTTCAGCCACAGTCTGGGAGCCAAAGATGCCCCTGTGGATGCCTCCAGCTCCGGGTCTCTGCATCTCTAACCCAGCTACGCGACCACCTCTGACTACCTTTGGCCGATGTTTCTGAGACATTTCAAGTGCATCATGCTCTAGACTGAGGCTGCTCTCTCCACAGACCCCCTCCCCCCGCGGTGTCCCCATCTCGGTCTGTGGTCCCATCATCCGTTCCCCACATGTAGCCATAGAGTCCTCTATTTTTCTTCCTTAAATCTCCAGAATCTCCTGACAGTTTTATTTCTCTGTGGTTATTGGTTTACTTCAGACCCTGTCCACACAATCCTTTACCCCTATTCCGCCACACCCTCCTGAGCCTTTCCTGCCATCTCCTTTCCGGGGGATACTCCCTTCTGATCTCTCTCCAGCTCTGCCCAACAGAGTTTTCTAAAATTCTGATCTGCACATGTCACTCCCTGGCTTATAAACCCTTCAGTTGCTCCCAGGCTTTAAAAGAAAATCATACACCTTGATTTTTGCACATGACATTTGAGTTCGGCCTCTGCTGCCTTGTCAGGTCTCACCCTTCCCTGCAAACCAGAAGCGAAGACCACCCAAAGCCCCCTGAGGGCACCTGCAGCGATTTGTCACTCCACACCTTGCTCCCGTGTTGGCCTCTCTGCTTTCTTTGCTTGGCTGGAGTCTTTTCTTCCCTCCAGAGCTGGAGAGAGATCAGAAGGGAGTATCCCCCGGAAAGGAGATGGCAGGAAAGGCTCAGGAGGGTGTGGCGGAATAGGGGTAAAGGATTGTGTGGACAGGGTCTCACCTCAAACATCTCTGCCTCTGGAAGGGTCCCTGGATACCCCTCACCCCTCAGCTGGTTTTGGAGGGTTGTGATCTGAGATAGTGCACCCCTTCTTGTATCTCTGTCCAGAATCTTAATGTAAGACATTGGTGAATACCTCAATTTTCTTTTCCAGTAAGTGATGTTATGTTCCTTTGCGCAGGTTTTGTGTCTTTTATGCTCCTGAGTGAGTGCTGGCGCCTAACAGGTGATTGCTGGGTGAATAAGTGAACAGATGAATGAAGAAGGTAGAAAGGAAACAGAAGTTAGGAGAGCAGAAGTGACTGGGAAAGGCAACAGTGGCCTGGAAACCTCCTTGAGGAGGGGGTCAACATCCCTTGGACACAAATTTCTTTCCTACCTGGCTGCACATTAGAGGGATTCTCCACTCTTTCCTGCCTCTCCTGGGCCGACTGGTGACTCCTGGACATCAGTATTGGGAGGGCAGGGGGCCTGGAGGCTGGTCAGAGACCCACACAGAGACCATACTTCTCCCTTCCCAAGGGACGCTGCCAGCCTCTGCAAGGAGACTGCCCAAAGGCTGGTGGATGGCACAGAAACTTGAGGTGCTAGAATGCGATCACCTTTCCCGCCCAGCATTGATTATGCACCAACTGTGTTCATGTGCGGGAGCCTGTGAGGAAACTCTGGACTTGTGCATGTTTCACGGTGATGCCATCCTTTGGCCTGGTTTCAGATGAGACTAGTGCAGGCACAAGCCGCAGGTGACAGGATTGTGCTTTGGGCAATGAGTGCCACGGGACAAGGGTGAGGATGCCGGGGCTGGGCAGTCAGCAAGGAGGTGGAACTTGGACTGGGTCTTGAAGCAGAGCGGAAAGGCAAGGGCACTGCTGGCAGGAGGGATGGCCTGTGTGGAGGCTGGAGGTCAGGACACACAGGGGCAGCTGCTTTACCTGAGCCTGAGGCTTTAGTAGGAAATCAATTTGGAAAGAGACACTAGAACCAGGTCCTGAAGGAATTTGCCAGGCCAAAGAGTTTTGGATTTGAAACAGAAAGATGACATGTGAGACCCACAGGACAGTGTGCTGAAGCTGGGGTGAATCCCCTGGGGCCAGCCAGGCAGCCCCTCACCGCTTCCTGCAGACCTCTCCAGTTAAGGGGTCATTCCCAGCAGTGGCCAGTAGGGGGCAGAACAAGCTCAAGTTCCCTTAGCTCAGGCCTTCGCGTCAGGGTTCAGTGTCCTGGGAGAGACCTGGGGTGGGTGTCCCTTGGAGAGTGGGGAGGTGCACCAGGCACAGGGAAAACAGGCCAGCTGTGCATAGATGGAGGGTGGGGGGAGGCTGGCTAGTCTGTGGCCACTGAAGCTGCATGGTCTGGTGACCTGACCTGGACAGCCCTGGGGTGAGCATCCACCCTTCCTGGGCCTAGGCTCCCCTGCACTAACGCAGCTTTCCAGCTGGGCCCGCTTGCCTTTGCTTCCCTCAGCCCCTCCTTCCCAGTAGAAGAACCCTCGTCACTTGAGGTGTCTGAATTGGGCCTCCTGGCACCCCAGCTCCTTTGGAATCAAACCAAATCCAGGAATGCGGCTCACTCTCTTCCCTAGAGAGGATGAGGGAAGACTGTCGGGCCAATGACAAGGTATGCATGTGGGCCTTTGACTAGCATTATCCGGCAGCTCCTGTGCTAGGGACAGGGACAGGAAGACGGAGTGCATCAGGCCAAGGCACCATTACACTCAGGGTCCCCAGCCCACAGAGTAAACAATGCCATGACTCGACTGGCAACGACTGGAAGGGGCTATGAATACAGTGCTGTGGACGCCCCGAGGAGGAGGGAGCGCAGCTGCACAGTGAGGGCCGCAGAGGCTTTGACGAAGGTGCTGCTGGACCTAGGCCTTGAAACATGGGTAGGGCTTTACCAGATGGGGAAGTAGGAGGGGCATCCCCACGCAGGAACCGGCACGTGCAAAGGCACAGGAGTGGGGCTGTGTTTGCAGAGTGTCAGTGATACTCTGATACGCTTTTCCATGACCACTTGTTACATGGCAAACATTGTGCCATGATATTTCTATTATTTCCAATTTTCAAATCAATGCTTAAGGTGCTATGATCCCCTCTTTACAGATAAAGCATCCGAGGGTCAGAGAAGTGGCATGAGAACCCCAGTAAGGAGGTGGGAGCTGACACGCTAGTCCCGGGCCGCCTCCACTCTGCCTCTGTAAGATGGACGTTAAGGAGTGTGTGTGGCAGGGGTGAGTGTGAAGGACTGATGGTTCCACAAAGACCTGCAAAGTCCTTCTTTCCCAGGGCACTCTACCCTTGGCCCCAGTGTCTCTGGCCAGGCTGTTAGATCTTCTGGTCAGAAACTTTTTCTCAAACAGCTATTTGCCTTGTCACTTGTCCTTTTAGGAAAAAGTTCTTGTACAAATTTCATTCTTGTGGGTCAGAGATTTTGTCTGGGCCTGAATCAGAGACAGGGAAGAAGGGGCCCTGAAATGGGATGAGAGAAGGAGGGGCTGGGCCAGATGCCCAGGGCGCGTCAACCTGCCCTTGCAAACTTCCTGCTCGCATTTAAAAGTTGGCTTCTGGCCAGGCACAGTGGCTCACACCTGTAATCCTAGCATTTCGGGAGGCTGAGGCAGGAGGATCGTTTGAGGTCAGGAGTTTGAGACCAGCCTGGGCAACGAAGTGAGACCCAGTATCTACAAAAAGAAAAAAAAATCAGCCGTACATGGTAGTGCACACTTGTAGTCCCAGCTACTCAGGAGGATGAGGTGGGAGGATCGATTGAGCTGAGGAGTTTGAGGCTGCGGTGAGCTGTGATCATACCACTGCACTCCAGCCTGGGGGACAGCTAAAGACCCTGTCTCTAAAATAAATACATAAATAAAAACAAAGGTTGGGATGGAGTAGCTGAGAGGGCAGACCTCCTGCCACGAACCTCCTTTTTCAGATGGAATAGAGGCCTGCTCCTCCAGGGCTCCCCTCCTCTGTCAAATATCCTCTAAACCACCCCTCTTCCTGGTCTCAGTAAAGCCATCCCCACATCTTCCAGTGGTCCCTGCGTCACTCTGTGCAGGTGCCATAGTTAAATGGCATAGACTGGGTAGCATGTAAACAACAGAAATTTGTTTCTCACATTTCTGGAGTCTGGGAAGTCTAAAATGAAGATACTGATAGATCCGGAGTCTGGCGGGAGCCTACTGTCTAGTTCATAGAAGGCAACTTCTCAGCGAGTCCTCACATGGTGGAAGGGCAACACAGCTGTCTGGCTTCTCTTTTATAAGGGCACTCATCCCTTTTATCAGAGCTCTAACTCACCTCACAAAGGTCCCACACCTAATACTGTCGCCTTGGCATTAAGACTTTAACATATGAATTTTGGGGAGACACAAACATTCAGACCATAGCATTCTGCCCTGGCCCGATAAATTTTATGTCCTTCTCACATGCAAAATACATTGATTTCATTTCAGTAGTCCCAAATGTCTTAACTCATTCTAGCATCAACTTTAAAGTTTAAATCCAAAGTCTCATGTAAGTATCATCGAAATCAGATATAAATGAAACTCAAGGTATAATTCATCCTGAGGCAAATTTCTCTCCAGGTATGAACCTGTGAAATCAAACAAGTTAGGTGCATTCAAAATACAACGGGGGCGATAGGTGGAGGATAGACACTCCCACTCCGAAAGGGAGCAATAGGAAGGAAAGAAGGGATACAAACAAAATGAAATCTCAAGGCTGGAGAATAATTTTTTTTTTTGAGTTGGAGTCTTGCTCTGTCACCCTGTCACCCTGGCTGGAGTGCAGTGGTGTGATCTCGGCTCACTGCAACCTCCACCTCCTGGGCTCAAGTGATTCAAGGCTGGAGAATAATCTTTGGCTGATGCTCTGCCCTCTAGACAGTGGGGTGGGGGTTGAGGCCTCAGAACTCCAGGACCCACCTGCCCCCATAGCTTTGCTGGGCATTGCCCATGTTCCATCTCTCACAGATTGTAGTTGGGTGCCCGTGGGTCTCTCAGTCTGGAATTTCATGCTGGTGGGTCTATGGTCTGGGATGTTGGTGGTGCCCCATCCCCATGGCTTCATTAGGCATTGCCCTGGTGCGACTCTCCATACAGGCTCCACCCTTGCTGTAACTCTCTGCCTGGGTCACATAACTGAGGTTCCTGGCGCTTCAATCTTTAGTATCTAGGTGAAGGTAGCCACGTTCCCACTGCTCATGCACATTGACAAGGATGGCACGTCATGGAGCTGCCAAGGTTTATTACCTGTGCCCTCCATAGGGGTAGCCTTGTGCTCTACCTAGGCCCACTGGAGTCATACCTGGGGTGGCCAACGGGTACTGTGCTAAAGTGCAGGGAGGGGAGCCTTAAAATCATTCTGTCCCCCAGGCCCTTGCACTTTGGGCCTGTGATGGGAAGGACAATTCTGATAATCGCCAAGATGTTTTTGGGGACAGCCTTCCATTCCGTTCTTCAACAGCACCTGGCTTCCCTTGAGATACCCTATCCATACCAATCCCTTTTTCAAATCACTGTGGAGCTGCATTCTTGGTGTTTTCTCTGTACGCACTTTCTCATTCTTTTCAATATGGATAGGGTGAGAATTTTCCAAAAAATTTAAATGGTTTCCCTTTTGATTAATAATTCTATCTTCAAATCATTTGTCTCTTCTCAAAGGTTACTACAAGCACCAAGAGAAACCAAGTTGCACCTTCAACACTGCTTAGAATTTATTCATTCAAATATCCCACTGCATCATTTAAATATTCCATTGCATCACTTACAAATTCTACCTTCTGCAAAACACTATGACACAAACTTAATGCAGTCAAGTTCTTTACCACTTTCTAATAAGGATTGTCTTTCCTACAGTTTTCAGTAAAACATTCCTCATTTCTGAGACCTTGTCAGGATGGCCTTTACCATCCATATTTCTACCAATAGACTGTTCATGACCACTTAGGTAACCTACAAGAAGATTAATTAAGGCTTTCTGTGCAACTCTCCACATCAGAACTGCTCTTAACAGTCTATTCATGGCTATGGTTAGGCTTTTTCTAGGTTGCACTTCCAAACTCTTTCAGTCTCTACCCATTACCTAGTTCCAAAGCCACTTGCACATTTCAGGTATTTGATATAGTGGCACCCCACTCCTGGTACTAATTTTCTGTTTTAGTCCGTTCAGGCTGCTATAACAAAATGCTACTAGCTTATAAACAATAGAACTTTATTTCACAATCTTAGAGGCTAGGAAGTCCAAGGCACTGGCAGATTTGGTGTCTGGTGAGGGAATGCTTTCTTGTTCGTAGATGGTACTTTCTCGGTGTGTTCTCATATGGTCGAAGGACAAGACAGCACTCTGAGGTCTCTTTTATATGGTCACTAATCACCTCACCAAGGCCCCACCCCCAATGCCATCACCTTGGGCATTGGGAATTTAACATATGGATTTTGGGCAGCAGGGGGACACAAACATTTAGACCATAGCAGACATCTTCTCAGTAATCATCCAGTCCTTTTAAATTGCGACACTCACCTTTTTCTTGCCAGCAATCATTTAAAAAAATCTATTTAAAATAATAAAAATTATGGTAAATACCATAATAGCAGAGAAGGGTATATAAAAATTAAACATATTCTACCCATCACACTTTTCCCTTGTCTCATCTTATTGTCTCATCTAATCATTAAGGAACCACTCTTAACAATTTCTTATTTATCCCTAAGAGTTCTGTGTGTATAGACCAGCACATATAGGTACAAGTCACTATATGTACTTTGTAAAAAATATATGCAAATGAGATTACATCATAATTATAATGTAACCATGTTATTTTGTAGCTTGTTTTTTCACTTAATGTCAGATCCTGGATGCTCTTTTTTATGTTAATATCTGTAGATATACTCATTTTTTTGTAGTGACTATAAAAAGCTCATTGTAAAGATGTGACTGACCAGTTCCTTTTTTAATAGACATTTATGCTGCTTAGTTTTTGCTAAAGCAAACAAGTTCTAAGATGAACAACTATGTTTATAGATTAATTGCCAGCTGACTAATAATGTGTGTGTTTAAAATGTGAACATATGTTCCCAGATTGCCTTTCAAAAACAGTGTAATGATTTATAGTCCTGCTAACAGTGTATAAAAATGCCCATTTCCTTATATTTGCACCAGCACGGATACTGTCAAACTTTTAAATCTTTGCTAATTTGACAGGTGAAAAATGGTAAAAATTTAAAAATGTTGAAAGTTTAAATGCCTTTATAAGTGAGACTGAGCATTTAAAAAATATATCTTGGCTATTTAAACTTTGTTTTCTTTTTTGTGAATCCTGTGTGTAGAGGGATTTTTTTGAGAAGGCTAATCTTTTTCTCATTGACTTGTAGACGCTCTTTGTGTATTAAGGAAATGTGTCTGAAATTCATTTTCTTAGTTTCTTCACTACAAATTATGTGTTTGAAAAGATTTTGTTAAATAGCGCTGCCAAGTTATTAGTTCTTTTTCTGTTTTCTTCATCGGATCCACGTATACTTAACCTCAAATGTTTATCTCCACAAATAGCCAATGTTTCTGCATTGAGTTGATGTAAATTCCAGCCAAAAGCAAAGCACTGGAATTTCTGTCAATCCCAGAAATCTCACCATGGCTAAATGTAGACTATCCATTGGTTTCCTGAAATATTTTAAGTGGTTCATGGAATCCTAGAGGCCTGGACCCTGGAGTGGGAACCCTGGACCCTGGAGTGGGAACCCCAGCCTCTGATTTAGCCCTTTCAACAGCACTTCCTTGGACCAGCCCAGCTCACTCCAGCTGGCAGTGTGGTGAGCACAGCTCCTCTGTCCAGCTGTGGATTCTTCTGTTCTGGTGAGTGGGCCGGGTGTTTGCATATTTTCCCCTTTGTTTCTAAGGCACTTATAGGTGTGGGTCCCTTTTCCTTTTAGCTGATGGTCCCTGAGGAAGGACTGAACCAGCCTGAGGCCAGGCCCAGTGGGACTTTACTGGGGGTTAAGGAGGATATGGAGGAGAGTGGAGCAGGGCGGACAGAAAGAGGCTCACCCTTAGAACCTCCCAGCTGGCCCCCATCCCTCCTGCCCATCCTTCATCCTCCCTACTTCCTTGCAGAAATGTCAGACCCATGTGCTATTCCCTTGAGGGTAGGTGTGGGCCTCCAGGCAGGTTGGGAAGGGCTTTGCAGAGCCCCAGATTGGAGAGTGAAGGGCTAGACACAAAATATGGGCCTGTGTGTCCTAGGTAGGAGTTAAAGGGATAGATGGGCGGAGGGGAGAGGGTGTTCTGGGAAGTGGAGGTAGCTTTCAGGCTTCTGGACACCCACCCTCCAGTCTAAAGGCAGCTTCACCTTGTTCGGGAATGTGTGTGGGGTGACGGTGGTAGTGCTGAGCTTGCAGGTGTTGGGGTGGGAGGAGAGCAAGAGAGGCCAGAAACCTGCCTCTGCTTCCTGACCCGTCTGAGCCTCTGCAGGGACTTAGAGGCTTCCAGGTCTGTTTGTTGTTTTAACCCAGGGCTAACTTGAAAGAGACTGCTACATTCCTGAGGCATTGGCAAGTGAAGGTGATGAATGGGGTTGGCAGGAGGCAGAGTCTGAGGAAGTCAACAAGAACTCCACTTGACACCCAGGAGCCCAGGTTCCCCGTGCTCTGGGCAGGCGTCCTGTCTAAGGACTGGTACCCACACTGACCCTGGTGGGTGGGGAAGGAGACCTTGGGCTGTGAAAAATCCTCTTACCTCTTCCCACGAATGTCCTTCAGCCTTCCTGGGCTGCTCTGTGAGCATGAGAGTTTGCCCTGTTCTCTGCCTTGGGGCATAGCTCTCCTGCCCAACTGGGGGGACCTGAGCCTGGAGTGGGCACAGCAAGGGTAAGGGCTGAGGCTGGGAGACCTGGGTCTGTCTCTGGAAATGTGCCTTGATGGCAAATGACTCCTCAGAGATGCCTGAGCTTTTTCTTTTCTTTTCTCTCTCTCCCCCCCCCCCCAACTCACTCCCTCTCTCTCTTCCCCCAGCTCCCTCCCTCCCTCTCTCTCTCTCTCTCCTTCCTTCCTTCCCTCCCTTCCTCCCCTCTTTCCTTTTTTTGCTTTGTAATTAGTATATTAAGGAGACAACACATTTCAAGAATTACTTAAATTCCGATACCAGATTGAAGCATGTGAACATTTGATGAGAGTTTTAAACATACAATTAAAGCTCTTCATCAGGATTTGCTATACTACCAACATTATAGTTACTTTGGAGCATAAGTCAAATGGTTTACAGCAATCCTGTAACATACCTAAGGAACACCTTCCTATATTACGCATGCAAATTACTTCTCCATGTTAAAGGGATTTTCACTTTAATTTCTGCATTACTTTTTCTTTAAAGCAGGGCTGGTGAGATGACATAGACTGAATTCCATGAAACCTTATTTCATTGGCTCCATTTGCCCCGCCTGGGTCCAAATGGAGCTTCTGAGGAGGGGGTGAGAAAGAACTACTCCTTCTTCCAAACGTTCCACTTCGGTCTGCAGGAAAGTTATCCACTAAATATACAAATCGATCTTGACAATGCATGGCTCTCCCATGCACGGTTCGAGGCAATAGGTGTATTACTCCCATTTCCTCTATCCTGGGCCCCAGCAAAACCATCACAGCCAGTCTGAGGGGACACTAGTCCTGACATTTGGGACATGGTGGTGAAGAATGTGGCTTCGGAGCCAAGCGGATGAAAGGCAAACCTGGCCACACACAGGAGCTGACTTCACGGACTGGTTCCGTATCTGGAAGTGGGAACTGCTCTGCTCAGCCTGCTGCAGGATAAAGTCCCAGCAGGTGGATGAGGACTCCGCAGGTGCCTGCAGTCGGGAGTGGCTCAGTCCCTCTGCTCTCACTCTCCTGGAGGCCCTGCTCTCGCCTCCTCTGGGAGCTAAGTCCTTCCAGCCAGGCCTGCCCATCAGCCCCCTCTGAGTAACTTGGCTGACCTTTTTTCCCCTCCATTAAATAGTTGGGTGTTGAAGCTGCTTTCAGCTCTGAAGTTTGATCACTGACTCAGGTCTGAGTTGTTCAACTTCACAATTTTGCAAGTTGGGTTCAAAGAGTAGGCTTATGCCAATAACTCGAGACACAGTTGTCTCAGTGGGAGAGGGACCAGGAAAGGCTTGGAACATGGACGAGGCATGGGCCTCCTGCTGGGAGTGAGAGGGAAGGAGGTGCTTGATGGTAGTTGACACGGGGTGTGTATGTGTGTGAAGTAAGAAGTAGTCTCTCAAAATAACATTTGTCCCATTTTCTCATTTTTCTAGAGCTGGCTGGATTGAAGCAGGGTTTGTCTTAGGACTGCCAGAAGTGTGTGTGTGTGTGTGTGTGTGCGCTGAGGGCAGATGTGACAAAATGTAGCCCTTGAGAAGGCTATAAAACAAAGGCTTCTCGATTTCTCTGGAGCTACCTGGGGACCTTTAAACCTCTGTCAGCCGAGAAACCAAGGGCTTCTTTTTAATTCATTCTTTCAAGGAATGTATTGAGCTGGGACCCGGAGGCTGTACCCTAGGTCCAGAGGCTGGCCCTGTGCTGGGTCAGAGGCAAAGTAAGAATAAGATGTGGTTCCATGTCCCCTGAGCCCATGGCCCTGTGGCGCAATGCAGAGTGTGGGGAGCCCCAAGCCTGGGTGGCTGTGGGGTTGGGGGCTGTGGTGGCCCAAAGAGAAGCTGCAGGAGGCTCCACTGCCAAGGAGGGCTTGAGCCTGCACCCAAGACCAGGTAGGCACCAGTGCAGTCCCCACAGTGGGGACAGGCACCACAGGGCATGATGATGCTGGTGCAACACTCAGAGACATAAAAGAACACAGGCGAGTGGAGAACCAGATGTAGTGTGGGGTAGCTAGAACTTTGGGAGCAGGGACAGTGGGGACGGATGAGATAGAGAAGCTTATCCTGGGGGGTCACATCACCGAGGCCTTGGGGGCCTGACTGTGGAGTTTGGGTTTTAGGCTGTGGGCAGGGGTCCTAAACGCAGCTGTCTGCAGGGGCCAGAGTGGGAGGAGAGGCATGAAGATGCCAGTAGAGGAAAAAGCTGCCCTGGGGAGGACAGGCCTTGTCCCCTCTGTTCAGTCATTGTCCCAGGTTAGGGGGCAGACCTAGAGTAATATGTCATCTAACTAACTCTTACAGAGAAGCTGGCAATCTGGCTTTTCACATAGGCACATTTATTTTTAAATGTTAGCAATTAATTCAAATTTAATACATAACAAAACAAAACACGTGACTCAGGCCCATCAGGAGAGGTCAGTGATCCGGATCTGGCCCTCAGGCCCTTGGGTGTGACCGCTGCCTATGGTGGTGGGGGAGGTGCCCACAGGTTCCAAGTGGGAGTGGCTGGGTTAGAGTTTGCTTACTGTGGTGGAGTTCTGGGGAAGGCAGTATGGTCAGCCAGAGTGGACAGAGGTGGAGAGACCAGTACAGAAGTTATGGAAAAATCTCATTCTTCTTTATTCATTCATTTGACGAATGTTTACTGAGCATGTGCTGTGTGGCAGGCACTGTGCTAAGCAGGTGTTATTAAGGGACATCCAGCCTTTTTCCAACCCCCACTTCAAGGTTCAGGCTGATCTGCCATGCCTTCCCAGGCCTCCTGTCCTTTCTCTGCGGGCTCTGAGGCTACACTTCTCGGTCCCAGGCCAAATCTGCTCTCTGCAGGGCCTCCTGAACAACACAGCCTTTTTTCTGCGTTTTGCCCCGGCTCCAGTCATGCTCCGTCCTCTTCTTCGCTGAAATTTATTGGTCCTCACAGCTCTGCCCTGTGCACACCCATCCTTCAGTGCCTGGGTGCAGCAGAAGAGGAGATCGCCTCTCCCCAGCTCTCCTGCTCTTGTCATCAGCAGGAAATTTGCAGAGTTTTTATTCTGGATCCAAACAAACACTCATGTGCTTAGGCATCTTGCTGAGAGCCCAACTGGGGTCCGTGCTGGCCAACTCCACTAGATCCGTGCCGGACGGTCAGTGCTCACGCCCATTCACCAGGCCCAGGTGAGTTAACTAATGAGCCTGGTTCCCAATCCATGCTGACTCACAATATTGGGCTACCTTGGTCTAAGAGGAGGAGGAGGAGGGATAAACTGGGAAAAAAGAGGTATGTGCCACAGAATCCTCTGACTCTGTGACCAGAGAGGGGGCTGGGTGAGAGACCAGCGGAGGGTTGGGGCACCACAGGGCCACATGCCAGAAGCCAGGCCCATCACACCCCATGTCAGCCAGTGCAGAATCACTCTGGGTGGATTCAAGGGTCCTTGTCCCCAAGGCACTCCCAGGTAGAGGGGAATAAGCCCTATATACCACCAAGAGCAAGACCACTTGATACCCAATGGATGATCCTCATGAGCCAATGGGGGCTGTGGGAACGTAGAGACCCAATTCTTAGTGCTGGGTGCTTAACTTTCGTGGGCTCATGGATGCTTCACCACTGCCCATAAAGGCCAGCTCTATTATGGTGCTATGTCACGTTAGAGGAGACTGAAGCTCAGAGAGTTGACTAAACTCTGTCTGAGATTGCTTAGCTCTCAGGGGCAGCACATTGGTTTGACCCTGGGGTGGTTGACTGCAAGCCCACTTAGTGCATGGCCATTTCAGCGGTAGGGTGTGAGAACTGGCAGGGATCAGGATGGTTGCTGGGGCACATTTCCAGTGGGCATTTTCCTGGACTTCCTCCAGGGTGGGGAGTGATCCTGTGCTGGCTGACATGGGGTGTGATAGGCCTGGCTGCTGGCGTGTGGCCCTGCAGTGCCCCCACCCTCTGCTGGCCTCTCACCCAGTCCCCTCTCTCTGGTCTCTGACTCTGTGGCACGTGCCTCTCTTCTCCCAGTTTATCCCTCCTCCTCTTCCTAGACAAAGGAAGCCCAATATTGTGAGTCAGCATGGATTGGGAGCCAGGCTCATTAACTCACCTGGGCCTGTCAAATGGGCATAAGCACTGACTATCCTGCAGGAATCTAGTGGAGCTCAAACTATTGAAGATACAGAAGGAAACTACTAGAAATATTTGGAGGCATGAGTCATTCATTCATTTATTCAGCAAGTATTTATTGAGCGCATACTCTGTGGGAGGCCCTGCTCTGAATGTTAGGGATACTGTACTGAGGAAGACAGCCTTAGCTCCTGCCTGCATGGGGCTTAGAGTCTAGAGTGGGGTGCGGGGTGGGGTAGCCATTCGAAAGCCATGCAGATGAGCACACAGGTGCAAAGCAAACTATGCTCAACAAGATTGTTAACAGGATGGAGCATGGGTCCGAGGCTTTCCTGGGGAAGTGGGATTTCAGCTGAAGGATGACGGGTCAGCCTGCGCAGGGCAGGACAGGAGCCCTCAGGGCATGACTGCAAAGCCCTGGAGTGGGGGACAAGCCAGAGGCTTGTGACAGGGCAGCATAAGCCGGGGTGCTGTCAAGGAGGCTGGGGGGCTGACTGGCCAGACTGGGCATGGCCTTGCAAAAGAGAGCTATTGAAGGATTTAGTTTAAGTGGCTTAACAAGAATAACCCTCCGTCTCTTTGACCTGGGTCCCTAGAGCTTCTTCTGCCTCCTTTGCCCTCGGTGTCCAGTCCGTGTGGTGAGAAGTTGGGCTGGGGGGGTCTCAGCCCCCACCCCGTTCCTGGGCAGAAGGGCAGCTGATTAAAAGCAGATGTCTCACCCTGGTGGGGCCCAGCCCAGCTCCCCAGTGCTGACCTCAGACCTGCACCGCCGGCATGTCCAGGCCGCAGACTCTCTGTCAGCAAAGCCGCATCCGTCCTGCAAAGAGACGGTCACTGTGGCTGCCCACACCTCCAACCCAGCAATTTCCCTACCACGGTGAGAAACCTCCCGTATTCTGGGGCTGGAGTCCAGCCTCCTCCATCTGCCTGTTGGGGGGAGAGAGAACAATTAGGTTCTTGGAAAGGAACTAGGTCAGAAGAGGTACCTGGCACCCTTGCCCAGTTCCTTGGCATACCTGCACCAGCACAACGCTAAAGGAGGTCACCATTACCCTATTCAGTGTGTCCCAGGCTCTGCGCCAAGTGCT